GGAGTCAAAGAGGAGGTACTGGTCCGTGTGTGTGGGCTTCCGGTAAACTTCGATGTTGAGTTTGCCGTTCTCTTCAATGTGCACAGCGCAGTCCAGGAAAGGCAAACAGTCGTCCTTTGTGTCTTCCCAGAGCTAATGATAGTTATATAAGAGCAGATGCATGCTGGTGCAATAAGCTGTACGTCCAATGGATGCATGATCTGATTAGTCAACTAATCGCAAAAATAATCGGTGACTAGTCGACTATCAAAATAATCGTTTGTGGCAGCCCTAATGGCGAGTAGCCTTCAGTAATAGTAATAAAAATCACACAATAGTACTTTCATGTAGTTGTAAAAAGCATGATAATACATTAAGTAATCCAAAGTATTCAGAATACATTACGCTCATTGAGTAATGTAACGGAATATGTTACAAAATACATTTTGGGGCATGTATTCTGTAATCTGTAATAGAATACATTTTAAAAGTAACCTTCCCAATACTGAGTATACAGAAGACCTTTATTGCTTAAGCAGCACGTTTCCGCTTGTAGCCTTCATCAGGGTCATCATCAATTTAATACTGCAGCACTGATTCAATACCTGCAGCATCATCATCCGGAGGGATCCATCCTTATGCTTCTCCAAAGAGAGAGAGCTCAGCATCTTTAGTCACATAGCACAACAGTGGTAACTACATTTACTGCCTTTAAAAAAATAAAAAATAAATTAAAAAAACCCACCCCAAAATAAAGACCGGAATAATCAGAAGCTAACAACAAATTACTTTGTGTACCTCACCTCACAAAGCTGTCTTTACAAACTTACACATTACTAATTGCTGTGACTTACTAAAGGTTACTAAAGTGTGCATGGATGCATTAGCATAACTAGATAGATAATTTGCAAGATGACACCCTAAGTAGCTGTGAAAATGTTTTATTCTAATACGGTTAAAAGAGGAAGTCTAACCTAATGCATCTAATATTACGTGATGTACTGTTAGACCTCACCCATAGTACTCATTGTGCAAGAAGCATGGCTCATTCAGTAACTGTTGTAACATCAACAAATATCATCAATGTTTGAATAATAAGATCATGTCACTGTAAAACCCGGAATGTAACATATCCCGTGTCTAAGACGCAACAGGACTACGAGAGGAGACAGACAACAAAAGCTATCGTTAGTTTCACTATATTTCACATTGTGGAGAAGTAGTTTCAAAAGGAATTTTCGGAGAGACTTCCAAAGTGAAAAGGAAATCGCATGCAGTGTTGTCTCACAAATCTACAGTGTATTATTGGCAAATATAAAGGAAAATAATAAACTGTTCCATGAATGTAATAATCATTCGAGCTTAGCCTTGCAGAACACAACCTGAGCCAATTTATTTACGAAATGCAGAGAGAGATGAAAGTGAAATCCATCTCATTGTATTGTATTGTATGGTTTAGACAGCAAACAAAAATGTGTGAGGATCCACTGTGGATCCACAAGGGCTTTGTGGTGAAAAGACACCAAGTGGTAGGTGCCGGTCAGGGCATTGTTTACCAGCTTTGTCACCACACATGCTTTTGCATATTGACAGTTGATGTGGTTAAAAAAGAAAAAAAACTTGTTAGTTACTTTCGTGTGAAGGTGACTGGACAGACTGTTAAAACAGAAAATATCTTACTCCTCAGTGTCCTGTTCTAATGCCGAGAGAAATATTTCCATCCATCTGAAAACAAAGAAGCCCTAAAATGATACGTTTCAGCAGATAAATTAAACCCGGTGGCATCTAACTTTCAGCAAAATACCCTATTAAGATCTTTATTAGTTTTAGTGGTTTTGATGTAGACTTTATTTCTCTTCTTTGATATCATGGCCTCACCAGAAGGACTGAGTAGAAGCCTGGCTGGGTCTCCCACTGCCGGAGCTGCTCCTCCGCAGGCTTGAGCACAGCTGTGTCCTGACTGGTAGCTTGGGTTAAGGCCTGCAGCACCACTGAACTGGCACTGTCCATATCCATAGCTGGATATATCTGAAGGAAAACAAAAGGGGAGGGAGAGAAGGAGAGACAGATAGAAAGCAGAATTTATTTTTTCTGTCCGTGAAAAGTTCTGGTTGAGCTGGGAGTAAAACCTTTCAAAATAGTTTCAGTGTAGCTAAAGCTGATGCAGTCAAATTACATCTACAAAAAAAAAATGTCAGTACAAGGAATTTCTGTTGCTTTGTCTGTGGCTGCATCTTTTTCCATCTTATTTTTATTATAGATCAAGCAGTGCTGAAATCACTGTCAAACTGACTGGGAAAGAAACAAACCCATCCGAATAAAGAGAAGCGCACCTAATAGAAACACTGACAGTCATCTCGGCTGTACAAAGAGCTGTTCTGTCCCAGATAGAATTCAAGCACCCCAGCTTCACACGTCCAAAGGTGTTTTTCAGTCTCAAAGGAAGTACCCGAGTCACTTTCACAGTCTGAATAATGAACTGTTGCCTAACCAGGCCTACACTGATAACATGAATCCTTCATTATGAGCTCAACCTTTCATGAAGGGATTAACAGATTTTGTTTCCCTTTTTTTAAAAACACTCTCCTCAGTACAAAACAAAACGAGCCATTTACAATATGAATAAAAAAATACATTTATTAGTGTTATTCCAAATACATTACATTAAAAACGTTTTTAAATAATCCTTTTAACAAACCAGTCATATTAAATTGGCACAGAATTCATTTTAAGTGCCATCCGTGAAATCATTAGTAGTATGGTGGCTGACTTTTCATGACTAGGTTAGAAAAACAGCATAGGGAACAACAAGACTGCCATCTACAGTCCAAAAGTAAATATCCTGCACCACAAAACACTGTGTGCGTCTGTAACTACATGTGCATTAAGAATGCATCAGGAGCATTGCGGCCGGTGCAATTTTCACATTACAAAGTATAATTATTTTAGTGCACAGTCCATGCATTATACATTACCATTATTAATTTTGATTATAGTAAGACTAGTACCAGTCAATTCTTAAAGACATTAATGAAGGTCGACTTTGTGAGCACAGTCATCTTGATTTAAGATAAACATTCACCTACAAATTGATAAGCGTTTCCTCACAGATAAACTTTACCTTGGTGGGCCACCCAGACATAATAAGAGTTACCAAGTATACTTTAAGTAATTCGAGCTTATTCCCCCCCCCCCCTTATTTGCCTATGTAAATGATGCTATCAGTGATCAGTGTCCAGGTTGTTATTGTGGCAATGTGGTTTCTGCTTTCTCTGAGAGTGGAAGCAGAACTGCTGCGAACTGGAGGGTCACTCCAACTGGAAACTGCAGAAAGTGACTACTGATTCAAGTGCCGCTACAGTGAGTTTACTGAGCCTGCAGACCAGAATAAGGACTGTCACCAGCTGCAGTCTAAGACGGTGGAATTCGAAGTTCATCTGCAGGATGAAAGGCTCATTCTGCAGAGCCAACTGATTATAATATTCACTTATTTTTCACAAAGCACTTGACAAATAAGATTTTCTCCTTTTATTTACAGGGAGGGGGTACTTCTACACTTTCATTTCCAACTCACATTCCACTCTTGTGACTGTTGACAACGCTTTCCTGACCATCTCCATGCAAACTGAATCAGAAATGGCAAAAAAGGATTTCACTCCAAAGAATCCAATAATTCAGTCCAATAAAAATCCCTTGTTTTGACATCTGTAACTTACGTCATATTTTTATTTCTATTTTCTTTCCTTAAGTATGGCGTCTTGACAGTCACCCTTCTATTAATACTATTTGCTAATTTTTGTATGTTTGTTACACTTAAATGTTTAGATCATCAAAAAATTTAAATATTAGACACAAAAAGCAGTTTCTAAATGAAGGTGTTTATTATTACGGGGAGAGAAAAAAATCCAAACTTATATGGCCCTGTGTGAAAAACTGATTGCCCCCTAAACCTAATAATGGCTGGGCCACTCTTACCAGCAACAAGTGCAATGAGTCTTTTACAGAGAGGAGTTTTGGCTCATCTCAACCCCATTGTAAGATTTTCAAGCATGAACTGCCTTTTTATTCTATATTCAAGTTGAGGTCAGAAACAGATGGCCGGATATTCTACTTAAGGATGTTTTGGTAGACAGCAGAATTCAGCAAGTCTTCCAGGTCCTGAGGCAATAAAACAGCCCCAGACCACTACACTACCAGCACCATATTTTACTTTTGGTGCGATTTTCCTTTTCTGAAAAGCTGTTTCTTTTATGCCAGATGTAATGGGACAGACACCTTCCAAAAAGTTCAACATTTGTCTCATCAGTCCACAGAGAATTTTCCCAAAAGTCTTTGGGATCATCAAGATGTTTCTGGCAAAACTGAGATGAGTCTTTATGTTCCTTTTGCTCAGCAGTGGATTTTGTCTTAGAATTCTGCCATGCAAGCCATTTTTGCCCAGTCACTAGGGCTGGGCCATATCATACCGTTCACGGTAATACCGGTATAATGTTGGGCAACGACAAGGAAATGAAATATCGCGATAGAATATGGGTAAAACGCGCAAGCGCAGTGCCTTAGTTTTCATACGCACATGGCAAAAAAGGCACGGCGGTGACGGAGAAAGACAAGGACGAAAGCGGATCGTTGAATGAAACGGATGAACCAGAATTGGTTTGTAAAAATGGTGCAACGACAGTGGTGTGGAACTGGTTTAGCTTTCGTCCGTCAGATACAGAACAAAGCACTATTTTTGGTAGAGCATGCCAGCGGACCGTCGTTATTACCGTGTTGTTTGGAAAATACGGCACACTTAAAATCAAACCTTTGATTTTTCTGAAAATCGTGCCCCTTATAATCCCATGTGCCTTATGTTTGGATTCTGGTTGTGTTTACTGACCTCGAAACGATTTTATGTGGTACACGGCGCTCGAAAATCTGTCAAATGTTTTAGTACGACTTTGCTAAGCTACGAACCCGCACCGCTTGATGGATTGTCGGAACATTACGGCTATCGTAGGCAGGAGCCTCGCGGAGTGATACGTACTGTGCTTCAACATAATATTACCGTATTGTGTGTGTATAATCTCTTTTTAAGTTTTGTGGATGTTATACATGGTTATGCTGAGGATATGTCGGCCAATTTCCACTGGAAATGCCTTTTGGTTAAACTGTCAGCAAGGAATTTGCACTGTTACGTTTTTATACAACTTTAATGTAAAAAAACAGTTGCTTGTTTAAGTGAAAATACATTGATGGGGTTTTTTTTGCACTAATAAAATTGTGGAGTTGTAAAGTATTTTCTCTAGTGTCAATTATATCGTCAGTTATATCGTTATCGCAAATTTTCAAATCTATATCGTGATAAATATTTTTGGTTATATCGCCCTGCTCTACCAGTCACTTTCTTATTGTTGAATCATGAACTCTGACCTTGACTGAGACATGTGAAGCCTGCGGTTCTTTAATGTTGTTCTGGGTACTTTGTGAGCTCCTAGATGAGACGTCGATGTGCTCTTGGAGTAATTGTGGTAGGCCGGTCACTCCTGGGAAGCTTCACCACTGTTCCAAGTTTTCTCCATTTGTGTATAATGGCTCTCACTTTGGTTCAATGGAGTCCCAAAGCCTTACAAATGGCTATATGTAACCCTTTCCGCCTCACAGATTTCAGTGACTTCGTTTCACAGGCGTTTCTTCAGATCGTGGCATGATGTGTTGCTTTTAGAGCTCTTTTAGCCTGTTTCACTTTGTCAGACAGATTCTATTTCAGTGGTTTCTTGATTCAGCAGGTCTGCCAGTAATAATGCCCGAGTGTGTTTAGTAAAACTGAACTCAGCTTGTGGTCAAAGTTAATTCATGATCTAACAGGAGGGGCAATTACTTTTTTACAGGAACAGGTAGATTTTGATAACTTGCCTCCCTTAATCAGTGAAATCATCTTTTAAAAACTGGATTTTGTATTCATTGGGGTTATCGTCATCTAATACAAAAAAAATTGATGATCTGAAACATGCAAGTGTGTCAAATATGCAAAACACAGGGGAATCAGGAAGAGGGTAAACATTATTTTCACACCACTGTATGTAGACATAACACTGCTTTATCCCTTTAATTGGGTGCCTCTTTCGACATGAATGCTTCATAGGTCATAGTAAGTCGTTCAACAAAAATACCCTCCTCTGAAAATGGTCATGACAAACAGACCTGTAGCAATACTGGGGAACTATCACTCAAGGCCATGAAGGGAAAAAAAAAAAAAAAAAACACTAAGAAAGTCCGACTCATTGGAAGCAACAGAAATGAAGGTTGGTTCAAGAGTTTTAGACAGTACTGTATGTTTACTGCAGAAACTAAAGTTAAATAGTGATTAGTCAGTAAAATAAAATAAAAAAATATGATACAAAAAAAGAAAAATGTGTTTTTGGTTTAATCTTCTCTTGTTTAAAGTTTAGTAGAGTTTAAATCCAGTCTAAAAGCTTAAAAAAAACAAAAAAAAACAGGGTGCAGCAACAGAAACTCAGCTGGTACCGAAATGACAATGAGTGTTATGTGGAGCATTCAAGCACTGAAATGCTTGCAAAGCAGAGGGAAAAAATTAGAAACTTGGATAAAATCCAGTTTTTGAAATGTTGTATAGAAGGGCGGATTTGACAGAGAGCCTAGTCTTGGCTCCAGCAGTAGCAGCTAATAACGTTACACTCAACCCTCTGAGAAAAGCACAGGAGGACAGGCTCTGTCCCCAAACTCCTCCCCCATGCAAGACCAATACTGCTGAGGTTTGATCAAAAGGTAAATAAAGATGTTCCGCTCTCTGCAGTCAAATTTAACAACAAAACAATAAAATTATACTAAAATACAAAAAGGTTACATCCGTTGGACTTGGGGTTACCAAGGTAGCCCACACATAGTACCTAAGGTATACACCAAGTTTACCTTAGGTACTAAAAAACCGTGTCGAGCACTGCTGAGCTGACCTGAGTAGGTACTAATGGAAGGGCTTTAAGTGAGCATGTAGTGGCAAATGAAATAAGCCTTTGGATGAACAATGATGGCATTGTGATTTTGCCAGGCAGTTCCTATTAAATACCATCTATTAAAAATGTTTATTTAGGTAATATATGCTTTAATATAATAACTTATTTTCCTATGGTTAGTGATGTTATAGGACAAATTTCTGGTGAGGAGGAATACATTATTAAAGCATTACTGAAACAAATTCTGATAACACAGAATCTGCAGATTGACTTCAATCAGTAGCATTATGAGTTTAAGTCGTGCTTATCTTTTCTGTAATGTAATAAAATATCATCCATTTAGAAAACGGACCTGTGTGAGCTGCATGGTTTGCTAGGACATTGTCTACTGATATACTGATAATCTCACTGTCATGGACGGCTGTTTTATACAAAGAAGGTTTACAGAGCAACATTTTAAACTATTTTAAAGTGATTTAAATATGGTTTCAGTGGCAATTTCCAGAGTGGAAACTGAATCTCAAGATAGTTTCAGGATTATCTAGCTTACTCTTGGTGGGTATTTTAGTTAAAGACATCATTAAAATGGTGGTAGTCAGTAGACCACTGTAATATACCAAAATTCTTTTTCATGACACATGCTTTAACTTTTACCAGAAAAAAAACCCACCACGGCCCAAAAAGAAACAAAGCACTTAAGACAGTTTTTTGTTTTCCCTACAGTGACATACAGTATGAGAATGTGCTCTGTTCTGATCACATACTGCTTTTTTTGTTTTACCACTGTAAGATTCACAACCTTAAACTTGTTCATCCACAATCCAAATCTGCATAACTATTCACGGTCCTTGGTGAGTGTAATGAGACAAACCTGGGGCAAGTCTGACTGCAGGAGCAAGACCAATGTGTCAACCTCAAATTGCTATTTAGTAGCTCAAAAGGTAGCTACTTCAATAATCTCCAACAAAGCACAAAAGAGGGAAAGAAAGCTGTTCCCGCTGAAGATAGAAGAAACAAACTTGTTTTGCCACTTAAGACAGAAACAGGCCACTGAGTACAGCCAAGCTACAAAGGAAGATTATACCAGCACCTAATGATGTGTGACTCAAACAAATCACTCCAATTACCACTGTTGTAGCCCTCACTAGTTCACATGAAGAGCAAAAGATGGACGTAAAATTGCACGGTGGAAAAGCTGGGCGTTTCGCATTCTGTTAAAAAGCTCAACGCAGGAGAGATCATCCCACGCAGAAAATATTTTCTAGTTTTATTATCTGACGATGCTGTGCAGTTTCTGAAGCGTTACAAGGTTAAGATACTTTATTTACTGTTAAGCTAAAGTGTTATTTTATACTTCAAATCATATGCTGTGTCACTGGATTTAAGGCTGCTGGCACCTTCTTTCAGTAATCACTCTTGACAACAGCTAATTGTAAAATGATAGAAAATACCCCTTAATTTACATACATGAAATGCTACTACCTGAATATCGTGATATGATTTGGGGGTTATATCACCCACGCGTAAATTGCCAACACATGAGGCTAATCCAGCGGTAGGCAGCTAAATATTGTTTTGCACTTGCCGTAGCTTCTGTCGCTAACACTAGCTTGCTGTCAAATGTTGGCTCGGTTGACAAGAAAGCTAGGGTGGCAATTGCAGGGGCTATCGGTACATTTACTGATTTACCTCCAACTAAAGCTACGGTAACACACGCCTGGACATTTTACACTATATATAGCTATATGTGTCTACAGGCCTTTAGTCAAAGCAAGGATTTGTTATGATTGTACAAACGCAGTCGCTAGCATGTCTACGCAGTGGGTTAGTTTGTTTCTGAAGCACAGAAGGAACCAAAACAAGCTCAGTGGCGTGGGGTAATAGTGGGGCAGAATTTTTAAACTAATGTGATTCACATTTGCCTTTTACTACTGCTGTAGGATTCGCAAATATAGTCCAACTTGCTGTAGTCTTGCCCCAGTGCGCGTCATCTATAATCAAAATACCGCTCACTCACTAAAGAACCGGGGTGGGCAGAGTTCATAATCGTGCATATACCCCAAAACACCAAAGCTAACTTTAGGCTGACTAGCTAGCAAGCTTGAACTTATTCTATCCAAACCAACGTCCGTCAGTAGTATTTGTCCTGGCAACCAATTAAATATTTCTACAAAGACATATGAAGCTGGACTCACCTAAAAGAAAAGCAGTAGAAAACAGAATCTGTGCTTGTAACAGTGGCTGCTAAAGCGCTGCCAGTGGTAATGTAATGAGAGGTGGAAACACACGCTTGTAGGAATGGCGCGGGGAGAACAGCAGGCGCGTGTTGATGACGTAGGATCAGCGGCAGGCTGCTTCATCATGAGTAAAGAGAGCCCTGTTCAATATCATGTGATTCTATAATAGACTGTGTCTATTTTGCTTTTTTATACGAACCCCCTGACATTGTGTTTGCTATTTTGTATTTGTATATCTGTATTTTGTGCTTTTTCAATTAAAAAAAAAAAAAGAGTAAAGAGAGCCAATCGCTGTTTAGTATACTGACACCAAAAAATCTGGCTGCTGAATTTTTGTATTTTGTTTGTTTTTGTTGGAAGTATTTTAAAGTTAATTCCGTCCTGAACTGGAAACCAGTGAAGTTACTTCAGTACTGGGGTAATATGTTCAAATTTCAATGTGCCTGTAAGGACTCTGGCCACTGTATTCTGAACAAGCTGAAGTAACCCTACTGATGATTTGGCAAACAGATCATTACAGTAGTCTAGCCTGCTTGATATGAATGCATAGACCCATTTTTCAAAGTCAGTCTCAGAAATATATTTTCTAACTTTTCATACACTTGTTAAGTGGTAGAAAGCTGTTCTGGCGACCTTATTTGTATAATTATCCAAACTGAGTTCCAAAATAATGCCAAGGTTCCTGACTTGGTCACTGTGTTCAGAGAGAAGAAGATAAACATGGACAAAATTCTGTTTCTGACATTTTTGGTGCAATCACAAATATTTCTGTCTTGTCTCTGTTCAGTTCTGAAAAGTTTCTATACATCCATCAGTTAATGTTATCAGTGCAGCTTATTAAACTGTGAACAGTAGTTAGATGATTAAAGAAAAATAAAAAGCACAACTGTGTATCATCTGCATAAGAATAGTAGGACATATTATTATTCTTTTTGATAGTGCCAAGCACATACTAAAGGACATTTTAGTATCTTGTTTAATATTTGTCTATTTAAACTTGCATAGAGACCATGCATTATTCAGATATACAGTTTCATGATTACTTAATTTCCTGATTTACTTTAATTATCTTTTTTTTCTAGTTCAGTACATTAGTTCTAGTATGTTTCCAGGGTGGGCTTTCTCATTTCAGTTCAGTTTTTGTTTGTTTGTTTGTTTGTTTGTAAGTCCCAAAAAGTTGATTCTGTACATCTGGACATAGCGTTTTCAGTGGGAAAAACATTCCATCGCTCATCCAAGTGACGTCTTCAGTCTTAGCGATTTCCCTACCAGGATGATTGAGCATGCATCAAGACGTTTGTTTGTAAGTTTCTTTTTTATATATAATTTGACAATATGGTCAGTTTTCAGGGGTGATGCAAACACAGCACTTTGTGAAGGTGGCTTTGTAATATAAAATTCAATAAATAGATCAGTGTGTCCTCTGATTTTAAGTGTCAACAGATTTAACTAAAACTAAAGACACAGGTCTATATATTTCTTTTATTTTTGTGAGCAATATTGTTTTGTCTGTTTTTTTATTTTGTTTAAATATCTATTTGTTTACATCTACTGTTTGTTAAGGTTTAATTAATTATTATAATCATGATACCTTCTGTACTGTTTGTCGTTCATTATGATTCCCCAGGATCTCAAGCTGTTTTCTCAGAAAAGGTCGGCTGTCCTATAAGGCTTGTGTTTATGTGATGCTGTTTCATTAAATATGCATCGCTAATTTCTTCACAATTTGGCCTCAGTCAGAAAACCAAAGAAAAACTTCATTTTGTATTTGCTGAAAAACTCTAAAGGGCTACGACTCATCATTTTCTCGGTGGAACAACGCACTTTTGGGTTGAGTTGTGCCAAAACTTGATTTCCAGCATTTTGCCAAAAAGTGATTGCCTGTATTTAAACTGCTATAAATAACTTTTTTGCCTATATGTCAATTGTGTCCAGTCCATCATGAATGATATCAAGTCATCTTGAGCCACAAACAACATTCCTATCACAAGGTGAAAGCCGCAATCACTTTTTTGCAAAGCGACTTTTATTTATCATGTTAAAAGGTCTCACTTACATTAAAAAATGTATTTTAAGAGTAATCTGGCCAAGAGAATAGCAGAAATTGCAACAAATATAACAATAGGTCTATAAGGATATTTTAAGTGGCCTTAAAGGGTTGGATTGGTTATAAAGTAGGTACAATAACACAAAGTCATCACTTGAAAAATGTTAATTTTGAAATTTTATATATAACCCCATTTGTAAATCATGCTCATAAAGTCTATTTCCCAATACAAGTAAAGACATTAACGTAAAAAAAATTGAAAAGAAAAAAAGAAAAAAAAATAAACTGGAAAAAAGAAATTGAAAAACAATCACTTTTTTGCCTGAAGGGCCACTATGCACCTGCCGAACAAGCAGTGACAGCAGTCCATTGGTTCATTTTCATGACTGACACTGGATTGCCCAATCAAATCTCGTAACGTGACCGGCCCCTCCCATAGCTATGCTGTGTGCTCATGGATCAAATGGCGAGAAGGTGGAGCTGGAAAGCTGAGAGAAAATAGTAAAAACAAAAATAGATGCAATAAAATGTGCCAAACTAACAGACATGTTAGCTGTCGGGGCTGCTGCACCGTGAACAGTAGTACCAGCAACAAGTAGTAACCAGGCCTCACAGTCAGAGGAGCGTGCTGCTGCTAGCACCAGCTGAGGGGAACACACACATATATATATATATATCCCAAAATATTCTCCGTGTCGTCTTGTTTTGATCTCTGATCCCTAAATGTGGCTTGTATTCAAGGAATTCTCTAATCTTGCACATGGCATGTGGTCATTCACTGGGGGGAAAGGCATAACCCAGAGTACACAGGATAGTTATCTGTAGAGTGTATCTGTAGAGTGTAGACGAGTTTATCTTCTCACATAATCTCAAACTGCTTGATTTAGATTTTCTTACCACTAGGTGGCAGAGATATTTCAAAGCAGATGTACAGGCACGCAGCCTTTAGGTTATCAGGTCAGAATCTTGACCAATGTATAAATGAAAACTGCTTATTTTAAAAACCTGGAAGTTATACAAGACAAAGTGGACCACATTTCTGTCAGTCTATCATCGGTGACACCAGAGATAAACAAATCATGCAATCACACATTTATGTTGGCTCCCAAGAGAGTATTCATTCCTCTCTGTGGTTTACCACACAATAAGTATTATGCATTTACTGAATACTGATCACATCAAATAAATATAGTTTACCACATAAAGCAACCTACTCAGTGCAAGACACCAACTGACTAAATGTGCCCTATTTCAGTATTTCTCAAAATCAGAGTAATTTGATATTTGTGTGGAAAATGCTGGTCAAATAGCCTTTAATGTGTTCTGGGCAATAAGCAGACATATTACAGACATATCACTTAAGTATCTGAGAAAGTACAAGTACTGTGAGAAACTAGTTCGCCTTTTTGCACATAGCCCATTGTCAGGTGACATGCAGAACATGTTTTTCCACACTGTTATCTAACTGTAAATCATAGTGACACTAATCCCTATCAGTCTTCGTTTGAATTTCGGTGGCCATTTCACTGAAGGCTGTGTATTAATTGGGATAACTTACAATTATGGTACACATGTCAAGAAAAAAGCTTTCTAGACATTATAACGACAAGAAAGATGATCACTTTTGACAAACAATGGATTTGTTGATACAAACAGAATAGAAGAGAAATATCCTTTATTGTCCCTCGTTGGGAAATTCACGTGTTACAGCAGCAAAGTGAAAGGCAGACAGAACTTGCAGATTCAAGTAAAGAATATCAAATAAAAAATGAGAAATGACAATTTTACAAATACTTGATCAGACATTGCGGCGCTAAAGGTGAGTGAGACTTTTTTTAAATGAAAATGAAGTCATAATGCAGCTGCTCAGAACACGATCAGATTTAATTACACACTTAGCACTCTTCCATACCTACCAGCCTAAGTTTGTGTGTGTGTGTGTGTGTGTGTGTGTGTGTGTGTGTGTGTGTGTGTGTG